GTTGCCCAGAGAGGTGGTGGATGCCCCATCCCTAGAAACATTCAAGGTCAGGCTGGATGGGGCTCTGAGCAATCTGATTTATTTGAAGATGTCCCTGCCCACGGCAGGGGGGTTGGACTAGATGACCTTTAAAGGTCCCTTCCAACCCAAACTATTCTATGATTCTATGATTATTTACACTAACTGAACCATGTATATGTACTATATAAAAAACCAAATCTATTTATAAAGACTCAGAAACCACTACTATGCTTCCTGGTATTCTATTCCAGTTACTAGGGATTAGCCCACCAGCCTAGATGACAAGCCACTTCTACTAAACAGCTATACAGTTTTTTGTAGATATGTCCCAGTGGAGAAGTTTCCTTAGAAAAGGACATAAGGTCTACAATGAAGATGTGATGTAACATACAGAACACGCTGTGCAAATGAATGTACTGCCACCCATATATGCACCTTTTCCTAAGGAGCACTCTCATACTCACAGAAGCAAGGGAAAGACAACAACAAACAAACAAACCTTACCTTTCGGCAGACACTTTCAAAATTAACTTCTGTCCTAAGAGCAAGTCTGGTAACTTCATCTGGCTTTATTTCCTGTGGATGAAAAATATATTTATTCTTCTTATGATCAGACTTAACGAAATCTTTCTAAGGTTCACCTTCCTCATAAACATTCTAACTTCACGGCATCTCCCACTGATCTCTTAAAGGAAGAAAATCAGTTTTTATACAGAGATAGGGTTTTTTTGTGTGTATGTAAATACTACATTTTCTGACTTCCAAAACATTACTTACACCTAATCTGACTATATCTACTACTACTGAGGGCAATAGAGATTTTCAACAGCAAAGTATGCAGAAGGGTGATTTTATTTACAGAAATGTTTAAATTGTGTGTATTGTTGTGCTACAAATAAACCTTAGAAGGTTTGAAATGCCCCATTTAGACTCTGAAGTTACATCAGGACTTAACATATATGAATATATATAATGTTCTTATATTATATGTAAGTTTAAGACAATGAAAATGAAGTTGAGAAGAAAAAAAAATCTATTTTCTGAAGAGACTGACTACACATGCAGTTTTCATTCCTGAACTTAAGCATTTCCATTGGCAGCTGAAATGGAGGAATGAAAATCCTGGAAAAGTGGATTTTGTTAAATGTTGAGTATTTTATGAAACATGCACTCATGACAGATTACTCGTTATTTTAAAATACGTATTTTATATATGTTGTATTACAAAATGCCCTATTAACCTTATCAATTGAATACACTGAATATTGGCTTTTTCCTCCTAGGGCACTGCGTCAAATAAATCATGTTACATACCAGTTGTTTGCCAGATGGCCATTTTAAAAGCATTTTAACTATTGTTATGCAGAGCCCAAATAACTTCTACACATTCATAGTTCCGAAAAATGAAAAACTTTGTACAAAGAAACCTAGTTATTCTGATAGCTTTCATCTAGATCTAGCCTATATCACAATGCTGGTGGCTTCAACACCTGAAGAAAATTACCTGTTTGCTGAATTTCTAAAACTCCAGGAAAGCAGATGACTTAAATAAAAAAATACAGTAATTTTGGAATACTTGTGGTCAATAAAGAAGAAGAAAACCTAAATTAGAAGTGCCCATGCAAAGTATTATAGTTTGAGAAGGTGAGACATGTCCAGGTTCTTGGGCTGCACCTGTAGTTAACATTATGCTCAGATCTGGACAAGAAAGATGCTAACTGAAAACCCTTAAAAGCGACTACTGTAACTAATGGCTCAGAATAATTAATGTATTAGCAAAGATTCAAATGCAAATTGAATTATGGGAGACATGGTAAGTTGCAAATGTCTAGAAAAAAAATGTACTATATAAAGAATTTCATGTTCAACAACTAAATTATACTTGTTTGTTTCTCTGTTTTTCCCTACTTAATCTTGATAAGCATTCCAACACTTTCATTTAACATCCTGCTCCCTTGTTAAGTCTCCATATTCTATCCTGTTTCTGTCCTAAATTGGAGAAGTCTGCACACTTCCTTAGACTTAATTTCAGGAAGAACCAAGTAGCTTACTTTCTTATAGAGGGTCATACCTTGCGTTTCAAAATCTTATGTTGTCCTTCCTTCTATGTATTAGATACTTTGCAGAGAGTTTGCATCTTACCTAGATCTTTAAGGTGTTGCGTAAATTGCATATGTCTTAAAACTATAAGCAAGCATACAATAATAGGAATAAAATAACAAAACAAAATTAAATTAACAAAAAAAAAAAAACTTTTTGTG